GGCGGCGGGTCCGGCTGGGGCTCGGGGACGCGGCCACACTGCGGAGCGCCCCGGCGCGGGTCCTCGGCCTTGGCTGCCCCGGGTTATTTACGTTAAAGAGCTATTCAAGTAGCTGGTCGGCGAGAGTTCGGACGATTATCCGCTCGTGCGTTTCCACGCTGCTTTCGAGAGAAATCTTGCCACTTAGAACATTTGAGAAAAAGGAGTCGCTTTATTTCCTCGTGGCGCTCCTGAGATGCCTTGCTTTGGTCCAGGCCTGAGACCTGCCCTCTGGGTTCTGCCTCGGGATGTTTGAGTCCTACCTCTGCTGCTGGGTGTTGAGTGCAGGTGTGCGTGTGTTTGCTAAACGAGCAGTTCAGGATAGACTTCACCTAGGTAAGGGGTTCTGGCTTAAAAGAGGACGTAAGAGTTAGCTTCGTAGGAAAGAAACTGGTTTTCTTGAAGACGTGGGCACTTTCCACTAAAGGATGGAAGAACCCCCCCGGCTCTAATTAGGCCTCATTTCATGATTTTTTTTTTTTTTTTTTTTTTTTTTGGTACCGGGGATCGAACTCGGGACCTTGTGCTTGCGGGGCAGGCAGCGGAACCACTGAGCTAAATCCCTGGCCCATGATTATTATTATTATTATTTTTAAAGGTCCTCTTAAGTACGTGTTTTTTGCCGTGCTGAGGATGGAACCTAGGGCCTGGCACATGCTAGGCGAGCACACTGCCAATGAGCTGCATCCCCAGCCTTAAGTTTATAAGGATGTATTTAGGGAAAATTGGAACTACAGTTACAGGTGATGCACTGGAGTGTGATTGGTTTGGAAGTGGCAAACAGACTCACACCTGTCTTACATCACCTTTGCCCTTAGTTGGGAGAGTGATATATGGATCATCTCGTTGAATAGTTTGTTGAATCTAAACTGTACTGCTGTGATGTGTATAGTAAACCAAAGTGCTGGAAATCCCTGCTGACTTGGCCCTTTCTTCGCAGGGCAGTTGGAGTTGCAGCCCTGGGGAGTTAAGTGTGGTTTAGAATGGAGGAAACCTGGCAGGCGGTGGAAGGCTTGTTCTGAGTGTCAGCAGGTTACATGGTTAATGATCTCAGGTTCCTGTCCTCTGGTTTACATTTAGTTATATACTCGTGCCGTGCCTCTAACTTTTGGAAAGTCTTGGTTGTGAGTAGAAGAAATACAATGTTACTATTCAAGTAACATCACAACTTTCACTTTTGTTGCAAAATGTTCAACTGTCTGAAACTGTGTAGAAGAAAAGCTTGAAACTGCTAAAGTGGTGCCTAGCAGAGACCTGAGGGTCCTTAAGTTTCCTGTGTTTGCCTGGCCAGAATGAAATATGACCAAGAAGGGAACCTGTGATAGTGAAACAGTCATCAGAATATTGAGTCCGATTGGCGATAGAGCCCATCTGAGCCCTGAGCTGTCTCACCGTGTTACCACCCCCAGCAGCAGCTCTGGGAGGTCCTTCGGGAGGAGTGATGAGATTCCAGTGACATCTGGAACCTTTGTGAACGCACTTGTCACTGGTCCTGCAGAAGCCCCAGGGCTGATTGTCTGCTGTTGACTTTGCAGCTGGAAGTGATCGCAGATAGATTTCTCTTTCAGGTTCAGATACCACATTCAGAGCTTCTTCAGTACAAGTCTGTGTTCCCAGCCTGTCCCTTGGTAGGAATGTGGATGTGTCCTTTGTCTTCCTGATGTGATTTTATCGGTGGCAGATGTGACAAAGGGTTCAAGCAGCACAGCTGGGGAAACTCAGAGCCTCGAAGGGTGGGAAGTATCCACGCTCATCAGTTGGAGGAGGTCCTCCAGCCACCCACGTATGTTCCGGGTGCTGCTTGCTGGTTCTAGCTGGTGTAAGCTGTTGACAAGACCTATGAAATGGATGGAGTTAGGGTGTAGATCAGCCGGGAGGCTGGTGGGAGGTCGTCGTTTGGTGGGGAGCACTCACAGGCCTTTCTGTGGAAGCCTGTGAACATCCTGCTAAGAGCAGGTGCAGGTACCTAGCCTGCTGCCTGTCCTCTGTCCATGACAGTGACGGCAGCCCCTTGTTTCAGTTTGATAACCCCCGAGGGGTTATTTCTGGGAGAGCTGCAGGGGAGGCAGTGAGATACAAGCAGCAAGTGTATTGTCTGACCTGTGGTTTAAAACTCCTGTCTCCAAAGCTCTGTCCTTCAGAGGACTCGCCTCAGGGACTTGGGAAGGGGTGGAGCTGCTTAGTAACTCTTTAGGATGGGAGGGTAAAGGTCTACAGCTTTTGCAAAATCTTGAAAACTGCTGCTTTGCCAGGTTGTGAGACTGAGGACCTGTGAGTTAGTAAAGATTCTGGATTCACTGGGCCAGGGGTGTGCCTAGTGGTACGGTAGTGCTTAGCCTTGCCAGCACTCATGAGGTCCCTGAACTGATCTGCAGTGCACACGCCTCCTGCCCCCATTTGGATTCATTTGTCTTCTCTAAACTGCTGCAGTCACCTGGACACATCAGCCACCAGGCCCCCTATCCTCTGAGGAAGCTGCTTAGTGTGAATGGTTGGTGCCCTGTCTCAGGGTGTTGGGCCCACCCTCTGGCAGGGGAAAGCCATCCTCGGAATCCCCCAGCAGAAGGACAGCTGTAATCTAGTAGGATTCCTGCACTCATCGGTCAGTCTGGTGGACTCCAGCCAGCCTCAGGGGTCTTGGCCTTAGCCATGAAGTTGGGCTTTTGTTCTCAGCTTCTGCTCCTTTGTACCTGGCAGCCCCACGGATGGGTCCTCTCTGCTTGGCCTCACAGCCTCTCAGGCCCACACCTCACTCGACCTGCTTCGTTGTCTTCTCTTCTCAGCACTCACCTCAGAGAGGGGATGGCCAAGCTCTCTTCCCTCAATGCCACCACAGATGCTGGCTGCTGCTTCCCTGGGCCTCAGGGGGCCTGCTTGGTGCAGGGAGAAGGGCTGGAAGGGGTGGGTGTCCGAAGTCTGCACCGTGCGGCTGGCAGCAGAGCCTGCGGTGGGCCCAGTCCCTGGGGCTGTGGACTGGCAGCTACTGTGATCGCAGTTTCTTTTGCAAAATTTTTTTGTTGCTTTTTGGTACTGGGGATGGAACTCAGGACCTTGCATTTGCAAGGCAGGCACAGTGCCACTGAGCTAAATCCCTGGCCCTGTGATTGTAGTTTCTAGAACTGTCTGACCAAACTTCTGCAAAGCCTCCCTGAGAACTCTCTGTGTGTATTTATGTTATCTGAGATGTTTTGTGACAGTTTACCTTTATTTTTTTTTTAATTGGAAGAATTTACAGGAACAGGAAAGTAATAAATGTTAAATTGCTAAACTTCACATCCTTTTAAAGTCAGTTTTGTGTTTATGCATACTTTTTCCCCAGTTTCTCATTGTGGTAAAATATATATAACAAAATTTGTGTTTTAACCTTTTGAAGTGTATAGTTCCGTTGCATTGAGTTCATTGGTATTGTGCAATCATCAGAACATCACCACCAACCAGTTCCAAGATTGTTTTCATCTTGTAAATCTGAAACTCCACGCTCATTAAACAAACTCCATTCTCGCTCTGCCTAGATCTGGCAGCACCATTCTGCTTCCTGTTTCTCTGCCTGTTTGTTCTCCGTACCTCAGGCCAGTGGGATCCTGCGTACTTGGCTTTTGTGACTAACTGACCTCACTTGGCCTGATGTCATCATTTCACTTCGTGAATGCCTGTGTATGTTTTCACGTGTCAGTTTCCATTTTTTAAAGGCTGAATAGTATTCCGTTGCATGTGTGTACCACGTTTTGGTTCCCCGTCTGTCCACGGACATTCGAGTTAGGCTCACCTTTTTGCTACCACAGATAATGTGGCTGCCAGCACGGGTGTGCAGATGTAGCTGTCTGTGAGACCTGCCTTCGGCTCTGCTGTGCTCAGAGGTGGAAGTGCTGTGTCTCATGTTGGTTCTGTGCTTCCCGCTGTGAGGGGTTGCAGCACTGATTTGCGGCGCCTGTGTCTCCACTCCACCGGCAGGGCGGAAGGTTATGGTTGCTCCCGCTACCTCACGCCGCTTTCTGGTTGGTGCCCTTCCGTGCCGGGGGTGGAGCCCTGGGTTTCCTGCATGCTGTGCGAGAGCTCTGTCCTGAGCTACAGCCCCACCCCAAGTTTCTGCCTGGTTTTTCTAGCAGTCTCTTTTCTTTTTCCCGTACTGGTACCCCGGTACCGAGGACCAAACTCCGGGCCTTTTGCTTGCCAGGCCGGTTCGGCGCCGCTGAGCCACGTGCCTGGCCCTGGCTGTCATCGAGTGGGAGACGGCCTCTTACTGTATTTCTGATTTGCATTTCCTTAATGTTAGTGATGTTGGACATCTTTTCATGTACTTACTGGGCACTTTTATATTTTCTTTGAGGAAATATCTACTCAAGTCCTTCGCCTATGTTTGAGTAAAGTTGTTCACATGCGAATCTTTAGATGGGAATCTTTTAAGCTATTTGGTGTTAGATTTTTAGTTGACATTATATATTTTTGTGCATTTGCATGTTTCTCATTTTTTAAAAAATTTAAATTTAAAAAAATTTAGGATCTCACAACCTTTGTGATTCTGGTTTTTTTATATTTTATGGTCCCACTCTGTGTCAGAACCTTTTAGCATTTAGGTTTGGATATATGTTTCCCACTTTGCCACATGAAGGCTGGCTTCCTGTGGCTTACTGAGCAGTGGCTGCTGGGAGGGCCTGCCGAGGGCCATCACTATGGTGCACTGTCCCCAAGTGCAAGCCGTGCTGCAGGAAGGCCCTGGCCTTGCCTCGGAGGGTTGGGTTCCTTTTCTCCTCTCCCCTTCCCTCCTGCTGTGGTGCTGGGAACGAACCCGAACCCGGGGCCTTGTGCATGCTAAGCCTGTGCTGTGCCTCAGCAGTACCCACCCCTCGTTCTCATAAAACACATTTATTGGTCCTTAGTAACAGGGTGTTGTGAACATTCTTCATGTCAGTTTATGATGATGCCAGATGCTCGCGGCCTTAAAGCTTTGGTGGAGATTTAAATCTACCAGCTCTGGTAGAGCATGCAGCTTGGACTCTATTAAAAGAAATTCTGAAACCACTAAAATGCCTTTGCCATTTGAATTGTTTTGTCTTTAGTGGACACACATGGATGTTTGGGCTTGATTTACTTTTCCGTGTTTAGGTTTTGTTTTAATAGGATTTAGTATTCATGATTTTATTTGGATATTAAATTTTAAGTGGTATCCCCCCAGCCTTGTTTGAAAAATAAAGTGATTTCATGACAGATGTTTTCTTCTGAGTTATTTATTGACTGGAAATAGGGTGGGGGAGGAGGAACAGAGTAGAAGAAAGATGGAGTTGTGGTTTCTAACCCCCCACTCTGTAAAACTCACACAAAACAAAAAGAACACACTGAACTGTAGTGATGGATAATAAGTGTTCTAAAAAGGTACCTTGAAAAGGTGTCCCTTTTTTGCCATTAGGATTAAACCCAGGGCTTTAGCACTGAACCTAAGGTACATCCCCAGCTCATTTTTTAATTTTGACACAAGGTCTCACCAAGTTACTAAGTTGCCTAGGCTGTGTTTGAACTTGTGAACCTCCTGCCTCAGCCTCCCAGAATGCCAGGATTATAAGTCTGCACCACCATGTCTGGCTAAGGTGTCCTTTTTGAATGTAGAATTTTGACAGTTTTTGTAGATTCCCTCAACAGCTTTTACATAGGTTAATAAACGTGTATCTTAGGAAAGGATCATTTCCGGGAAGTTTATTAACAAAAGAACAATCTGTAGTCGCAGTCCAGGGCTCTTGCTGTCCTCCAGGCCTCTGGCTTTCTGTCTGTGCGGCCTTTGCTGTCTGCAGATGCTGGACCCGAACCTTTCAGCCTCCTGTGTTGGGGCTGTGTGCAGCCTGACCCCAGGTCAGAGGGGCGCTGACGGGGAGGCCGGCCTTGCCAGCGGGAGCTGGAGAGAAGAGCTGCCCGTTCAGCAGATGGAGCTGGGTCGGATGCGCGGAAGAGCAGTTAGACTTTGAAGACTGGGATGTGTCTCTGGACAGGTACTTTAGGCCCAGGGCTGGCAAATCAGAGGCCTATGGGTCAGATCCCAGAGCGGTCTGTATGGCCAAATAGCTAAGACTTTTTGTCCATTTCCAAAGAACAAGAAAGAGAAAGGAGACCGTGTCGTGGAAAGCCCCATTCTCCAAGTTGGTTGGATCTAAATGCTATCAAATCGTGTAACTGCTGGGGAAATATGAGTAAGAACGGAGGATCGGTGAGTTTCCCTCAGTGGACTCAAATGTTGATGTGACGGGCATGTCATGCGGTCTGTGTAAAACAAGAAACAACTCTGGGGCAGGGGATGTGGCTCCATCCCGCCGCACCTACCTGGCAAGTGCAGGGTCCTGAGTTCAATCCCCAGTACTGGAAAAAAACTGCTCTTAGTTGGGCGTGGTGGCACATGCCTGTGATTCCAGCATTCCGGAGGCTGAGGCAGGAGGATTGCCTGGGGTTCAAGTCCAGCCTGGGCTACATAGTGAGTTCAAGACCAGCTTGAACTACATAGCGAGGCCCTGTGTCAAAAACCAAAAAGCAACAGAACAAGAAAAAAAATGCTCTTAAATCATAATCAAAATCCTGTGACTACCTGTAATATCTGCCAACCCTAATGCTAGCGCTCTTGCCTTGGTGGCCCAGCCTCCTGAGCGATGGGATGGCCCCGGACACCTGAGGAGGGCCATCCTTCCCTGCAGTTCTGCCCCCCAGGCTGGGGAGCCACCCAGTGTCCAGGCCTGTGGGGAGAGGAGCCGCTGGGGCCTCCCTCTGAGGGAGTGGCTCCTCAGGGCTGCTTTCTAGAATTCCCCCCCACTTTTCTGTTTTTCTGCCGTCTCAGCATTTCAAGTGTAAAAAGGATAGAAACAGACTTGTTTCAGTGCTTCTTATAGACCTTTGGTCAGGATAATGTTTAGCTAACATGCCCAAGGAGATACTTTATGTGTTGGTTTTCACTCAGTTTAATGTCTGCTTAAATAAATTCAAAGGCTAAAATCTATAGCTGCTTTTGGGTGCCGGAGATCCAGCCCAGGGCCTTGTGCATGCTCGGCAAGTCCACCACTGGCTGAGCTACATTCCCAGCCCCGTTACAACTGTTCCCGACTTTCAAAGTCTTCCCACTTTATTTTTCTCACTTAAAAAAGTATTCTTGGGCTGGGGATTTAGCTCAGTGATGCCGTCGCCTGCCTCGCAAGCACAAGGACCCGAGTTCGATCTCCGGTACCAAAAAAAAAAAAAGTATTCTATGTGAATTTTGTTCCAAACAGAGAATTCGGTTTCTGAGTTTATTTTCATTAAGTGAAATACATGTCATGGCACGGCCCCAGTGCCTCTTCCTTTATGGTTTTCCTAGTGTAATTTTGTCTCTCACCTACACTCTCCCTTCACCCACTTCATTTCTGAGGTTTCAGTTTCTATGGTTCCGTTACTTGCAGTCATTCATGGTCCAGTAATACTAAATGGAAAGTTCCAGAAATAATTCATAAATTTTAAAGACATTTTATTACAGTATATTGTTATAATTGTTCTATTATTTTTCTTTTTTTTTTTTGGTACTGGGGATTGAACACTTGCAAGGCAGGTGCCGGAACCACTGACCTAAATCCCCAGCCCTGTTGTTGTTTTTTGAGACAAGGTCTTACTATGTAGCCCAGGCTGGCCTTGAACCCACAGCAATCCTCCTGCCTCAGCCTCTCGAGCACTGGGATTACAGGGATGTGCCACCATGACCAACTTATTTTATTATTTTTTTCCTCTCTTACTGTGTCTGATTTATGAAAGGATCATTATCACAGGTATGTGTGTATAGGAAGACAGCAGTAGTATATATAGGGTATGGTACTGTATTGTTTTGTGAGAGATGGGGTATTGTCATTCCAACTCCTGGGCTTAGGTGCATCCTCCAGTCTCAGCCTCACAAATAGCTGGTATCATGGGTGTGTCCCACCGCCATGCCTGGCTTATAAATACACTTTTCTGTGTTATTGGTGTACAGGGTTGTTATGAAAACCAACTGGGATGGGGTGTTGGTGCTGATTTTAAATAGTGTTAGAATAAGTACTAACTGACTGAAGATCAGAGGTGTAGTTCCCAAAGCCCCAAAGGGAGAACAGAACAAAGGAACACTGCAACAAAAGGGAGTTAAGGAGACAGAAAAACAAAAAACAAACTTACTTGGTATATATATTTAAAACAACAACACTGAGATAACTTGAATAAGCTCAGATGTATAAGGAAACACAGTTATATGCTGCTTGGTATATATATTTAAAACAACAACACTGAGATAACTTGAATAAGCTCAGATGTATAAGGAAACACAGTTATATGCAGGGGTGAATCTCTCAGGTGATTAAATTTCAGACTTTATAGAAAAACAGCATCTAGCTGAAGCTGTACGTGAGTGAGGCATTATGTTAGTTACTTTTCTCTCATTGCCAAGACAAAATACCTGACACCGAAGGTTGGAGGGTAAGGGGTTTATTTGACTCACAGTTCATAAGAGGTTTCAGTCCATAATCAGCTGACTCCAAGTCAGGGATGACAAACGGGCATCGCAGAGCAGAAACAACATGGTGTGCACAAGGGAACAAAGCTAACAAGAGAGTTTAACAGCATCTTTCTGCCCCCCCCCCTTTAAAAAATATATTTATTGGTGCATTTTAGGTATACAATACATTTATATTTATCATTGGGTGTTTGTACCTGTACATCGTGTATCTTGGTTCTTATTTTTCCCCCATTACCTGTGCGCCCTTCACTCCCTCCACCCTTCCCTGATTACATAGACTTTGTTTCCATTTCTTTTTTTCTTTCTCATAATTTTTCCTTTCCCTTCTTCCCTTTCCCCTTCCCCTCCTTCCCTTTCCCCTTCCCCTACCACCACCCCTACACCTTTGGACCTTTTCTTCCTATTTCAGATTATCAGTTATTCATTTTAATCATTTTCATCCTTATTTACACTTTCAGTTTCTCGCACTAGAGAAACTTTAGTATTTACATGTGTCCTATTTCACTTAAGAGTATGGCCTCAATATGCATCCATTTAGCTATAAATGACTCTGGTTTCTCGTTCTTTATGGCTGAGTAGTACTCCATTTTAGAAATAAACCACATCTTCTTTATCCAGTTTCCAGTTGATGGGCACTTGGGCTGTTTCCAAGCTTTAGCTATTACAAACTGTGCCGCTATAAACATGGGTGCACATATATTGCTGTGGTATGATTCTTTTAATTCTTTTGGGAAGATACCCAGCAGGGGAGTAGCTGGGTCAAATGGGACCTCTAGTCCTAGTTCTTTGCGGTATCTCCACAATGATTTCCACAGTGGTTGCACCAGTCTACACTCCCACCAACAGTGGAGAAGGGTTCCTTTCTCCCCACACCCCCACCAGCATTTGTTATTGGTTGATTGCTTGATAGCAGCCATTCTTTGGAATCTCAGTATTGTTTTCATCTGCATCTCTTGAAAATCTGCCCCTTTTATCTTATTCAGACTACTTAGGGCAGGCAGCACTCACACCCAAATCCTAGTGCCCTGGAGCCCAGCACTGCACCATGAATCAATTCCAGCTTCACACACTCTAGAGCCAGCCTGTGAGCACATGAGGCTTTGGGGGGACATCTAGACCCAAACCATAGCAGGCATCGGAAAGGAGCACAAGTAGATGGGAACGAGAGCTGGAAATGGTTACCAGCTCAGCAAAGAGGAAAGATGGAGCCGAGGCTGGACTCTGAGCCAGCTCTGATAGAGGGGCCCTCACAGCTTACGAGGGTGGATGGGGGCAGGGGGACTCAGCCCACACAGGGAGAGACCCCACTGTGACTGCCGGCCACCCAGGGCCAAGTAACCCACAAGGAGGGCGTGGGGCAGGTGTCCTCAGATGGCTAGGGACACTTAAGCCCAGATCAGAATCTCAGGGTCTTCTGCTTGTGATACCCAGCAGTGTCCCTGGGCATTGCCAATGTCCCTGGGGGCAAAGTCGTGTCCAGTTGAGAACTTCTGATACAGAGGAGTTAAGATATGACTGATAATGTTGGAGCTAATTGATATGGATAGAAATTTGTACCCAATAAACATAAAGTATAGATTATTTTCATTCAAATAAAACTTAACAAAATTGGCCATGTATTAGGCCCCAAAGAAAAAGCCTGAGTTTCAAGAAGTAAATCCTGTCGGTCCAAACATCAGACCCTGGTTAGAACGGAAGAAGGAAAGGATAGCTAAAGTTACTCACCTGGACTTCAAGATTCCCTGCATATCTCTTGGATTAAAGAGGAGATCAAAAATTAGATCCATCTGTTGGAGTGAATTAGCGTGGTTATACATCCTCACCTGTGGATGAGGGACAAACAGGTCTCAGGAGAATGATGCTGTACAGCCTTAAATGCCTTTAAGCAGAGAACAAGAAAGTAATTGAATTGAGCTTTCAGATTCAGACACTAGAAAGGTGAAATTAACCCCCCAAAAAGGAGGCAAATTGGGTTTTGCTTTTGGGAAGTCAGATTAGGAAGAAATGAGAATGAAAGGGAGGTAGCAGCGGGTCCAAGACTGCACATTAAGAACACAGCGCATGCACCTTGATGGTGATGACTTTGAGGGCCTGTAAGTACTTTCCGGAGAATGAAGAAATGACCAGAATGGCCCTTGGAGGCAGAACACCTGCACAGAACAGGAACTGGGGGTGAAATGCAGATGGTGGTCAAAGATGTGTCTCCTTGAAAAAGTGCTAGGTACAGACGTGAGTTGGGTTGAATTTTCATAGAACAGGGTAGTTTCTTGTATTGTACAAATTGCAACACTCGTTCACTGAACAAAAAAATAGGGCACCTGCCACATACCTGACACTGTGACAAAGGCTGAGCGTGCAGTGGGGAGCAAACCAGGTGTGTCCTACCTCCCTGGACGTAGTGACATACAGGGGCTCATCACAGACCCCTCGGGCAGTGGCCTTGCCCCGCTGAGGTCAGGAGCCTGACAGAGCCGAGGGTCCCAGGGCAGGGTGACTCCTGCAGTGGGGGTGGGGTGGGGAGGCGAGCAGGAACTCAGAGTGACCAGCCTGCAGGTGCTGGTGTGACCACTGAGCATACATGTGTGTGCACGTGTGTCCCGCTTAGCCATTGGTTAAGCTTGGAATTACAGTACCGCCTTTATCAGGAGCCAGCAGGAGTGCCCGGAAGGAGTTGGACAGGCCTGTCATGACGAATGAAGTTTCCACGTGCACTCCTGGAAGATGTGGAAGTGTCCGGGCCCCTGGCACGGCACTGGTTAGTGAGCACCACAGAGCTCGCAGCTTTGAACAGGAGTGAAGGTCCTTTCTCCCACCAGGAAGCACCCCTAGGCCAAAGGAAGCAAAGTGAGGTGGAACTGTATGTGGAATGTGACCTTTTACCTGAGAAAGGCTCAGGAATATTTGCTTTTAATGAAAAGCCAGCTGTGGTTTCAGCACTGGGAGGCTGAGGCAGGAGGGCTGAAAGTTTGAACTTCGCGCAGACAACTTAAACACTACAGGAGATCCTATCTCAAAATTTAAAAATAACAAAAAAACGAAAAAGGGCTGGGGATGTCATTAGTGCTAAGGCCCTGAGTTCAATCCCCAGTAAATAGGAAAGAGAAAGAAAAAAAGAGTGAGGGAAAGAAAAGCAAGCCTCCTTGTCCCTAGATTAGTAAAACTGGAGTTCCCCATACAGGAGGGAAGGGAGCAGTTATATGTTAGACTTCTGACAGTTTTCGTAGTTCTCATTATGGAGAGAAAATGTTTTCCTTCTGCCTGTCTTAAATTCACTGCTCGGGACTCTGTAACAAAATTATCAAGACGAGGGCACACAGGTACGTATAATGTCAGTTTCCTGCCACCTAGGCAGTAAATGAAGACTCGAGGAAGTGACAGAACCTGGGGCTTTGCAGGTCGGATGCAGAGTGGACGGTCATGAAGGACAGTGATGACACCACAGGGGTCACGGGTAACGGACTGCAGAGCTGTGTGGGCCTACCTGGCAGGCTCCTCTCTGTGCCGGGCCGTGCCCGCCCTCCAGCTCCAAGTGGCTTCTCTCACCTGGATAACCTGCTGGGTGATGGGGGCCCTCACCTGCCGCTTCTCAGGTTCACTCAGCATAAAATGCCTGGCAGGCCAGGGGCCGCACTTAGGGGAGCACATCCTAAGCCCCAGCAAAACCATGCTGTAGTTTAAAAGTTAAAACAAGAGGCAAAGTATTCTGTAAAAATTGAAGACAAAACAAGTCAAAAGAACTTAACTAAGAATTGAGTTGTGGATTAACTACAGACAGGAGTTTTTACAGGTGACTTAAAAACAAATTGGCTTGTGATCCTAGTGGGATAAATCCTAGAGACAAAGGAACTACAAAGAGATCTAGGCAGGTTTTAGTACTTATATTGTTAGTGATAGTATTAGTATTGCTATTTTGAACATATGTGTCATATGATAAGTCAAAAAAGCCATATTACTGTCATTAGGAAATAAGATTTCCAGGGTAAAAGACATACAGATAAGAAATCAAAGCAGTTAAATAAATATACTGTAATCCTAAATTTGAATTGGAGAGTCCAGTGGTAGCATATTTTTAAAAACTATGAGAAAGTATCTCATAACTCCATTCAGTAAAAAGGCCTAGACTAGGAGTTGGTTGGGGTTGTGGTTGGGGAGGCCTAGAAAAAGCCAGTGCCAGTAGTACCAAGCACATAGCACCTAGACCAGTCCCTAAATGACCTACTGAGAGCCCTGGTGTTAATCGTGGATGGTGGGGTCTAGGGATGGAGTTCTGGGTTCTGGGCGTCCTGGACAAGGGACTGGATGTAGTGCCCGAGGGTAAGGAAACAGCAGCAAAGTTTATTAAAGCCAGAGTGGCTCGAGTGCCGAGGGTGCAGGGGTCGTGAGGTTCTGCCTGCTTCAGAGCCCCGCCCGGGGCATCCTCCAGAGGCTGACTGATGGGTCTGCTCATGCCCTCTGCGTCTGCTGCACACACCCTTTCCCATAATTCATTCTTACAGTTGTGTGTATGAGGTGCAGTCCATATGTATGAACCTCAGTGAGTGCCGGGGGAAGGCAGGGCGCTCTGGTGCACCTGGGTCTTGGTTTGGAATTTTCCAGAAAGTTCCTGGGTGGACTTGGGGACTTTGTTTCCCTCGTCTAGACCACCATGTGGTAAGCCATGGCAGAGGTGAGTGGAGGGGAGTGGTCCCGTAGAGCCCCGAGCTGTGCTGTCTATGTCACATACCTTGGCTTAATGGCAGAGTCTAGGTGTGCACAGAAAACGAACAAGATAAACCTGGAATAGCTCATTCTCCCCTGAAACCAGGAAAACTGTGGAGAACCCCAACTCCAAAAAGGAAACAGGGCCAAGGATGTAGCTCAGTGGCACCACACATGCGTGCCTCACAAGTGCAAGGTCCTGAGTTCCATCCCCGGTACAAAAAAAAGGAAACAAAACAAAAAGGCTGGGGATGTAGCTCAGTGTGAAGGCCCTGGATTCAGTACTCTATATAAACCACAACAACAATAACAAAAAACCAAACCACACACACACACTAAGTTGAGTGCACTGGTACATCCCTGTAATCCCAGGAGGCAGAGTTCAAGGCCACTGTGAGCTATATACTAGCGAGACCCTGTCTCAAAACACTAAAACTGCAGGGTTGTGTTAAAGAGCATAGAAGCTAACTGAAGGGCCTTGTGTTGTCAACAGTGAGGTAATTTTAACATCAAGAAAGAAGTGCAATAAATACTTAACACAGTGTTCAAACCCATGAGATCATAATGAGCTAAAAACAACCTCACTGGTCACCATTTGGAGAACACTAGGGAACTAGCACGTTGTCCTGAAAGCATAGTCAGAAGGGAAGAACCAAGCAGTAAAAATCCCAAAAGTGGCGGCTGCTGGGTGGAGAGTAGGCTGGGAGTTGGGTGGGGTGGTGACGTGGGAGAAAGGCCAGGAGGCTCTTTCTGGGCCGAGGAGACAGCCGAGTGGTGAGGCAATGGAGTGGCCTGTAACTTAGCTGTGAAGGCCCAGCTAGGAGACGTCTCCACAGTGAGGTCTGGAGAATAAGCTCCTGACCAGGCTCAGGGTCTGTGCCATTCGCATGTTAACTTCTGTGCTCCCACAGGTAGCATTAAGAGTCCTGTGTGTACTGTGAGTACATGGGTGTAGAACAGAATCACACACGGTGTAATATTGAAAGCTGCATCCTTATCGTGATTGAAATTAATTCATGCCATTTACCTGATGGATCACCCTCAACTGTCTTAATGTTTCAGGTTTTGAAAAATGCTGTGGTTTAAAGATCAAATTGATAAAACTAACAGACACCAATGTTGTACAAGTTGTTGATTACTCTCCTAATTTCCTCGTGAGTTCTACATTTATCTTAACAGCAAAATTATTTTGTGCCCACACAGTGTTATGTAGAAAAAATGGAATGTAGCATACCTCCCCATGGGTCCCACCGTGTTCCTTACCGTTAGGAGCCTGCTGAGATCTGTGCCTGGATATGGGCCTACAGCAGTGGTGGCGAACCTATGGCACATGTGCTGCACAGGCTGTTTGTATCATTGAAAGCCCTGAAAGGCTCGCACCGCTTGCCTAGTGCCGAAAGTGGTGGAAGAGTGGCTTCTGAGGGGCATTGGCATTGTCTTGCTTCTAACTGCATCTGACAGTCTTTATTACCTCACAGTTCCCTGGGGTACAGGAAGGCCAACACCATAGTGTGTAGGGGTGGAGAAGCCTTTGCCACTGAGGGTGCAGAAATCTCTTCCTCTGGCAAAAATAATCTCATCAGAATCTAGGAGTTCCGTGTCTGCAGCCTCATTAGGTTCCTCCCAGATATCTCCGTCCCAGTTCACAGGATCCCATTATTTTCCTGTTAGCACCTTCATTTTAACTGCAGATACACTCCAAGGCTGAGTGTTAAGCTTGTGCTGTAATTCAGCCAATCTCGTCATGAAGGCTTGGGTTTAGTTTTTGGCAACTTCAGTCCAATAGCTGAAGGAAAGAAGATTCTCTTTCAGAACACTCTTAGAACCCTTTAGATTGTTTATGTTTCTGGATCTTGGAATTTGAAGCTTTTAGCTCATCCTTTCCCCTTATTCCTTTGTCCAGAGACGCTGAGAGCAATGAGCCAGCGTCATTATATTTCTTACTCTTTCAGAATGTTCAAAGGTATTGTGTACTTTTGCATCTTATATCTCACAAGTGGTGAATTAGGATAATCAAATGGATCTGTGTTGTGGATTACAGTACTTTAAACAGCTCATACCTTGGACTGTCAGTACTCCAAGCTATCAGAAGGAGAGATCATGGCAACTTTAGGACTCATCAAATTAGAGAGCCAGTTCCAGAAACCACTAACCTGTTAGAGAAATTCATCTATATAATTTTGTTTCTCTAGAATCACTCCCAGTACCAGACTCTGTATTGGTTAGCATTCTCTAGAGCAACACAGTCAGGTTAGGTGGCTCACGGATAGGAGGTGGGAGAGTCCACATGGCTGTCTTCGTGCTGGAGGGACGGAGGATCCAGGAGCTGCTCAGCCCAAGATGGAAGCTGAAGAACAGGGGATCAAGGACGCAGCACCAGTCCAAGGTCCACAGCCTGGGGGCTCCCTGGAGTCAGTGGTTCGGGGCTGCGCTGAAAGCTAGAGACAGATGCTCCAAGATGATGGCAGCAAGAGATGCACCCACTCGAGCAGGCTGGAGCTTCTTGGAAATGAGTGAACATCCTTCTCTTCCCATTGGGTGCCACCCATAGCTAGGGTGAGCCTTCCTCCCTGAGAATGCTGGCCTGTGTGCCAGTCCTCTCTGTAGACACTCAGTGTGCTGTGCTAACCCACCACCGCGTTTCCTAATCCAGTCAAGGTGACACTTCTGTGGTTAAAGGCCATAACAAAAAGGGATACATGTACCAACCAACTCCCCGCGAGAAATGTAAACATTGTGTCCACATATGTAATAAAAATTCATTTAAAATGTAAAAAAAATTTAAAATTAAAATTTAAAAAGGGTACATTATTTAAGCATTTGTATTTCTTTGTGTTGTTTTTTTTTTTCTTTTGGTACTGAGGATCGAACTCAGGACCTTGTGCTTGCAAGGCAGGCAGTGGAACCACTGAGCTAAATCCCCAGCCCTTTATTTCTTTACTAATGAATTTTAATACTTCTTTTTGTGACGATTGGAAAGTTGTGTCTTTATTATTTTTGGCCTTCAATGAACTCTGGGGAGGGGACTGAAGTGACAAAGAATTTCGATAAATGGATGAAACAGACAGAAAGCGTGTGTAGCCCTTAATGTAGAGCATTAAGTGGGTGAGCCTTCCCTGGGATCTCAGAGCCCTGCGACACAACATCTAGAAGTGAAAACACTGTGCTTGAAGATTAGAGAAACTTTCTGTGTGCTGTAGTGGAGATAGGCATCCACTGATTGTGTGTGTTTCTCTCTTGCTTTTTTATTTTTAAAGTAGCATAAAAGGATTTATTCGGCAGAAATTTGAAAGTCCATACTCACATGAGTGAAGGCCCTCAAGAGAGACATTCTACAGCTTGGACATGGGAATATATAGGTATTTTGGCATTGGAAATCTGTGGAATTTGTGACTCTGTAGCAAAGTCCCTCTTGCTCTTGGCTTAGGGCAAAAGCACAGCCCACCCACAGACAGACCGTGGCCCGTTTGACAGGTAAAGGCATGAGCCCCACTGAAGTTTTGTTGGGAGGGGTGTGGGTGATCTAAGATGTTTTGCCTAAAAACATTCTTTGAGCTCTCCCAATCTGTTTCTTTTTTTTTTTTTTTTTTTGGTACGGGGGATCGAACTTGGGACCTTGTGCTTGCAAAGCAGGCGGTGGAACCACTGAGCTAAATCCCCGGCCCTCTCAATCTGTTTCTTAAGTTTTTTCCTTTTCCTTTTTCAGTCAGCTAACAGTATCTAAGGGATTTGGAGTATAATGGGCCTAAGAAAAAGTAGCATAAACAAACCTAGGAAATACTGTTATGGATAATCTTAGGTAAATTTGACTGTTCTGAAGTTGCATCTTCTTAAAAGTATAGTTTCTTTAGTTCTGATTTTGCTTGTTTCCTTTCTGCCTATCTATTACTTCCACCCTCCCACCCCCCAACTTTGATCCCTTATTCTCAAGGAGTACAGAGGGGCTGAGGATCCATCCTCTTACACCTGCTTCAGGCTGGGGAGGGATGTTGATGCCATCAGTTTGACTGATCTAAAGGAGACAAGATAGGTTTGGTTGTTTGGTAAGCCATCATCTTTTGATAGTCAGGAAAAGAGGCCAAGAACATTAACAAGTCATTGACACTTAAGCTTCATTTTATAACCAGCAGGGGCCAGGAAGTTCTCTCCCGCCCTCCTGCCCTCCTTCCCTCATTCATTCACATGGTGTAGACTTTGCACACGCTAGGGAAATGCTCTGCCCCAGAGCTACATCCCCAGCCCCAGTTACCTCTTAATCTCAAATCAGCCTTAGGGTATTACATGATGCATGAAAGATCAATATTGGATAAAGAGGAGCCTCCCAACTGGTTGTTGTGGATCAGGTCCTTTTAGTTCTTTCTGAGTAAATGATAGGTTTCACTTCTTTACTCAGGTTCTGTCTTGGGCCTACCCTGTCCAGCGCTGATGGACAGAGGCCTTGGACTGAGTCCAGGTCATAGTTCCTGTGGCTGTGTCAACCTTGTGCCTTCTGCTGGGAGCTGCACCTGCCCAGTTGGGGGAATGGAAGTTTTACTACTGCATGGTGGTGGATCCCTTTGCTGGGGGTGGAATTCAGTCGGAAGCCCCACAGATGCTGGAAGCCTGTAGCTCCGGTGCTTGGGTGGGGCCACTTTGAGAGTGTGGCGCCATCTGCTGGCAGCTTCCTTGGTGTCCAGTAGGCGTGCGGGTCACCTTGACTCCACTGCCCTGTATTTACTCAACAGTATGTTGGGCAGAAGGAGTCGTACCCCCCTCCCCTTTATAAGTCCTTGCCTGGTGTTCTGATGCAGGGAGAGCACATGTCCAAAGCTTGTGATGCACATTGCAAATTTTGCTTTTAGAATGGTTGAGCCAATTGAGAGGTTTTAACCAGTTTTGAAAGAGAACTACAGGTCTTTATGTTTTTGAATAAAATTCTGATCACCCCTCATTATTTATTATGAACATTTGGAGACAAAGCTGAAGGAGCAGGACTGTGGTTGCCTGCCACCTAAGCCCAACAAGTTGGTGTCGGCCCAGGTTAGTTTAATCGTGGGTGCACTTTTGCTGACCCATGAAGCCAGCTGTGGACATGATGACCCTGCAGCTGAGCCTCTTGGTGTGTATGCTCCGTGTGAAGACACACTGTGGACCCGCAGCATCATCACTCCATCAGAGCAGCAAACTCTGATAGTGACTTTATTCTCACATTTCCCCAGTTTTCTTAAATTGACTTTTTCTTTTGTACTGGGAATCAAACTCAGGACCTTGCACTTGCCAGGCAGGCGAGGCGCCACTGAGATAAATCCCCAGCCCTCTTAAATTGACTGACAGCATTATTTTCTTTCTATTTTTCTGTTTTTAAATTTCTTTTTCTCAGATGTGGCCCAAGTTGGCCTGAACCTCTCGCCTTAGCCTCCTGATGAGTTGGGGTACAGATGGCTAGAGTGGGTGGCTCTGTGTGTGCTGTCACGCAGTCATGCCTGTAAATGCACAGGTGTGTGCGAGGCACACCTGAATCTGGCTCTTTATTTCTCTTCATTAAAAGCCATGAATTCACACTGGCACTTCCCTTTCCTCCCTCACCACAGCCCTGAGCCTCCAGCCTTTCCCCTACACATTTGTCACTTCTCCCTTGTCCCTGCAGCTCTGGCTCTCAGTACCCACCCTGTCTTCTCAAACTGGGACAGCTCCCCCAAGCTTAAAAAGCCTTCTACGTTTGACTTTTACCTAAAACAGAACAAAAGCCCCAGGAGGTACGCTGGAGTGTGAGGAGTGAGTAAGAGGGTGTGCACAGGTACCCACAGGCCCCGCTCTGGTGCAGTGTAGCCCGTCTGCGCTAGGGCAGGGTGTGGTGGGGCCCTAGTGTCCCTGCTGTGGAGCTCAAGCACAGGGCGCCAGTCTGCCCCGGCCTGCAGGAGCGTGTGTTGCCCTAGTCCTCCACCAGACTGGCTCAGGAAGCCTGGGCAGGGCCTGGAGGGGACACTGCCTCAGGGTTCGCCTCTCCAGCCCTCTCCAGGTGTGCCTGCAGAAGTGTTGTCTGCGGGCCACCTGGGAGCAGCGCAGCTGCACAGGAGCCAGAGCATGTGCAGCTGCTGGGTGACAGTGGCGCTTTTAGACTGACTTGTGATGTAGGACTCACTGTGTGGAAGGTGTACCTCAGCGACATTAGCAGCAGACACTCCAACCTTGGGCTTTGTTAGACAGTAGGGCCAGGGAAGAGACCTGTCCACGGGAGGGAGCTCAGTGTCTCTGGTTTGGCTATTTTTGAATGAATGCTTTATAGAACACATTTCTGTCTTAAACACTGTGAGACTTTCAGGGGTTTGCACTTCCCTTTGGCCATGGCTGAAAACTTCCTTATCCTGGTTCTGAGCCAGCTTCGCTGTTGCTCAGTGAGGCCGTCCCACTCTGGTTGCCTTCCCTGTGAGGTGCAGCTGATCCCGCCGTGTGCCAGCATGTGCAGGAGTAACCACAACAGCGCATGTGGGTGGCCCCACGCAGCTGCTCGGGATGCGCTCCTTTTCCTTCCAGAGGCCCTGGTGCTGTGGCCTCCCCAGCCAAGAAGGGAAAGCTACGCAATAGGGAGCTGCTCTCCATGTCTGCCTGAGGTGTAGAGGTGTCCCAGGTGTTAGGGTTTAGATCTAGACTGTTCCCCCAGAAGCCCCGTGCATGCATCATGGGGCTTTTGGAAGGGGATTGGATGGGTCATGGGTGCAGATGTGTGTTTTAGAAAGCGTGGAGAGTGGACTGCAGCAAGGCCAGGCTGAGGCCCCTCAACCAGGTGGGAGTCCGGGTGATTGGATCCGAGGACGGGGCTGGTCCGGAACTCACACTGGAGACAGAGTTGGGGTTTGGAGGGGAGACAGGCTTCGATCAAGGAAGAGCCCTGGGAGCTGCTCAGGGCTCCGCTTGCAGGCGCGTGGGGTCTTTGTCCTGAGAGCGGTTCCAGCTAGCCTGAAGCACAGCTTTGAGTGCGAGTCACGCCCATGAAGACTTTCCTCCTGGCCCTCATCAGTGCACGTAGTCCATTGCATGTGCGACTGGTCCCTGCACTCAAGTGGCTTCTGTTGGAAGTGCTTTCCGACTTTTCCAGGTACACATGTGGTCGGATGGCTCCTGGGGCTGGGTTCAGGCCACGCACTTCTCCCTGCTGCACTCCCTGCACCTTTTTGTCACCAGTGGCTGTGCGCAGCCTTCCTCTCTGTGGATCCTCAGCATCCTCCACGTGGCCGGTGCTCCCTGTGTGGTCTCTCCTCCTGCCTTCAGGGTGCCGCTTGGTTCAGCTCCTCACCCTGTGTAGTGTTCCCCCATCTCCTAGCCCTGCTTCCTCCTGTCCCTCCAGGTCTCCTCCAGACGTGTGGTTTTACACAAGGTATTCATGAGCTAGGGCCACATGTCAGGTTGCCGCAAGCTGGGTGGATTAGACAACGGAGCACTGCCAAGTATGTGCCAGCCCTGGATTCCATCCCCAGCACTGGGTGAAATAAAATTTGTTTTAAGCTAGAAATGTATTCTGTCATCGTTTTGGAGGCAGAAGTCCAGCATCAAGTGTAGACAGGGCCACACTCCCTCACCTCTTCCTGCTGCTGGTGCCCATTAATCCCCAGCTCCCATGGAGTACAGTCACCCATGCCTTTCCATCACTGCCTCCTCCTCACTGAGCATCCCCTGTGGCCTCAGATCCTCCCCTCCCCTTACACCAACAACCAGTTAGGGATGCTGACTCTGGGACGCTCTCACCTCAGTACCCCCGGGCACGGGTAGGGGGTGGGGGTGGGTGAGAGCCCTCCTTCCTGACTGGACCTGATGCTGACCAGGTGTGCTTCATCTCAACCTGAACTGTCTCGCCTTGTTTCCCCCAGGCCACAGGCGCCGCTCCTCACCTGTCTGTTCCTCTCTGGACCTGTGGCTCTGCTTCTCCAGGTGCTCAGGTGAGAAATCCATGGCTCCTGGCTTCATCCTCATTGACCTGCTTGAGTCTGTGTCCCTGGCTGTGTCCTCATTGGCCTGTTTGTTTCTGTGCTTCAATGTGTAGAACAAGGCCTGACATATAACAAGCGTTTGCTGGAGGCAGGAGGAAGCACATTACTCCTCCCCACGTGCTAGCTTCGTGGCCTTGGCCACACCCTCAGGCTCCTCAGATGGGGAGTGGGTATCACAGGAGAAAGCTCTGGGTCTTCAGTGCTCGGGAGGTGGCTCCACAGCTGCTGCCAGTGCTGCTGCAGGTGGCTGGGACGTTGTTCCCAGTAAGACATGCTGATGATTTCTTCTCTCTCTGCTTGGCTTGGACCGTATTTGCTTTAGAGTCTCCCAAAGTATCGCTCACTTCCCCTGGTGACCTTTGGTGGTCCTGCTAGTGCAGAACACATGGTAGGATGACCCTTGACCTCTCCATGACCTCCTGTGACATGCACCATGACATTGCTGGTTTGCCAGCTGGGGTTCAGCTCACAATCTGTACACTCCTCTGAAATGCTCCTCTGCATCCATATTGCAGGTGCTTGTTATGGCCCCTGGCCCATCATTCCAGCGCCTCAGTGTTATTTTGAGGTTGTATGTTGTCACTGAGCAAATGGCCGTTGTCTCTGTAACTGCATTATGCACATGGCTTTCTAGGAGTGCCATCTCCTTGAGCATGTCGCTTTCATTCTGCATTAGTTGCTCCTTTCCCTGGGGCACTGTCTCTCTGGCTCATTGTACCATCAGATCTTGCTTACACGGCTCTTCCCTGAGAGGCTGCCCTCACCGTGCAGCCTGGAGCCACCCTGTGCTGCCCTGCTCTCCTTGGTGTCCGTGTCCCGCATGTGGAAGTGCTCACTGGTGCCTGTCAGGCGGAGTGGGGGCCCAGCACAGGTTAAAGGGCAGCATTTCCTTTCTGTGTAAAATGTGTGTTTTGTAAACACCATCTGATGCTGTGGAGGCCGAATGCTGCTAACAGATGCCCTTGGGCCTTTGTTTTCCAGACACCACCTGCTTTGGACTCAAGATGATCTGATGCCTTAAACCCTCGATAACCATGATGGCCACACAGACCCTGAGTATAGACAGCTATCAAGACGGGCAGCAAGTGAGCACCCAAGTGTTCTGCATGCTGGTTACCACTGGTGGGCCTGGCACCACATGGTGGACAATGCTGTGTGTTCTCGTTCAATCTTAAATATGTTATGCTTTGTTGTATGTTGGCGTCCCGAAAGATAAGCTATAGAATTATTCAGATTACTTCCACAAGTGATACCAAGCTTGCTAGTAATGTTAGCGCCCCCTCTCGCATCGTACCTTTTTAAAGCCATTGTTAATTAGCATTGTGGCTTTGGAAGAACAGCTGGATGTTTGCCTAGCATATACAAGGCCCTGGATTAGTTTAATAAAAAAGAAAATCTCTGTTTTTGACCCTCTACTTTTCCCTCCCTCCCTTCCATTTTTTGGTGTTGGGGTAGAACCCAGGGCTTGGTGTTCGCTAGGCAAACACTCTACCACTGAGCTACGTCCTTAACCTGGACAGTGTGTTGGTGGTGGTGGAGATTGAACTTGGTGCCTCCACAGTGCAGCACCCAGTGCTGCATCCCCAGCTGTTTTAAAAAATTTTTTTGTTTTGAGACAGTGTTTCTCCAAATTGCCCAGTCAGAATTTGAACTTGCAGTCCTCTTGCCTCAGCCTCCTAGAGTACCCAAGCTCAGTGATTTTGATAATCGTAGATTCTCGTGTTGAGGGTCACAAAACAGGGCTAAGCTGACCGACTTTTACATGGGAGTTCTGGGGTTTCATCTCCCAGGTACAAGCGTGCGAGGAGCTGTCCCGGTCATCCGTCTGCTCTTTCTGCCTTGGGTGCACTTGGGTGGCTGTGCTGCGACTGTCCTCCCGCTGCGGGTGGGGCTCCTCCCTGACTGCAGTGCGCTGTGGTTTGGGTGTGCTGGTGGGTGTGCTCTGTGACCTGCGACCTGCAGGAGTCGAGGAGCGTGCTGCCTGCCCTGTGTGCTCTGTGCTGAAGAGGGCCCTGCCCTTTGCGCCCTGCTTAGCAGGTCGGGGTTGGGAGCCCTTGCTCCCTGCTGCCCTGGGAGGGTTGAGTGAGACCCGGGCAGCAGCCTGGCTGGTCCCTCAGCAGGAAAGCCCAGCCCTCGGCCCTGTCCCATCTGCGTGTGGACAAGGAGAAGTTTGCCATGACAAATTCGATTTGCTTTTTTTTAAACTGAATTGTTTAAGGATATGAATACATTTTACCCAAGTGAAAAACACATAGCTTATTTAAAGCATTTAAATCATGTATCTTTAAGACTTTTAAGTAAACACAGCTGGTCTTTCCTTCCTATGCGTGAATGCAGACACCCCGGCTGGGCTATCACACCAGGGCTTCATGCATGCCAGAGATGTGCTCTCCCTGAGCCGAATCCCCAACTCGTGTAAAAATTTTTATAGCTTACAGCTGTGAGTGGTGGCACACACGTATAATCCCAGCACTCGGGGAGACTGAAGCAGAAAGATCACCACCTTTGAGCCCAGCCTGGGCAACTTAGAGTCCTAGTGATACCCCGTGTCACAAAAAAATTTTAAAGGTTAAGGATGTAGCTTGGTGCAGAGACCTTAGGTTCATTTCCCAGTATTGGGGGGTGGGGGGTGGATATGGGAGAATTTCAACCCTGTCGCAGACATATAGCATATTGGATTTTTAGTTGTTTTTAGAAAACAAAGAGTTTAGAGTACAGTGGCACCTCAGTTCATGAACACTTTTTTTTTTTTTTTTTGGTACTGGGGATTGAACTCGGGTCCTTGTGCTTGCAAGGCAGGCAGCGGAACCACTGAGCTAAATCCCTGGCCCCCATGAACGCTTTTGTTAGCAAACAGTTTGGTTCACAATAGAAGCATTTGGCCAAATTTTGTTTGCAAATTCTCCTTCGGGTGACAGACACAACTATGGCCATCTTTCCCACATAGACACAAACGTGGCTATCTTTTCCAGATGTACCACTATATTTTATTTTCCTTTTCTTTATATTATTAAATGTGAGGATATGTAGCAAGGAGATAAACAAAGATTTCATATGTAGAGTTTCCCTCAGTGGTATATAGTTGTAATTTTTTGGCGGGGGAGGTACCAAGGATCGAACTTGGAACCTTGCGCTTGCGTATAGTTGTAATTTTTAAATCATAAGCATTTCACAAATATTGGTCATCTCAGTTCCTAAGCAGTTTGGAAATCTGACCTTTATGTTACCCACTTTTAAAGCATATTAAATTTAAAGACCTCTTGTTAGTACCGTAGTAGTCTCTGTATATCATTGCCAGCCACATTAAGTGTCTGACAATTCACCATTCTGATTGTGTTCCTGTTTGGGAATAGAACGTAATTTGTCTTGTGTTCAGTAACAGAACTTCTCCTTTTATAGATGCAAGTGGTAACAGAGTTAAAAACGGAGCAAGAGCCAATCTGCTCTGAACCGGATGCGGAAGGAGTGAGCCCTCCTCCCGTGGAGTCTCAGACCCCGATGGATGCGGACAAGCAGGCCATTTATAGGTAGCACCAGGGTGCGGGTGCATGGGATTTCAGAGGGCCCGCAGTAGTGCAAGCCTGTTAGATGCCACTGCAGAGCTGGTGGCAAGGCAGTGGGGAGGTAACCCTGTGGAATGGTGCAGTTTGCTGGGTGAAGTTGATGTTACTTCTAATGACTAAAAGAGAATGTTTTAGAATATAAATGTATATTTAAGGTAATCTTGCCAAAAGAAATCTTTAGCCCCATATAGTCTTGTTTGTTTGTTTGTTTGTTTGTGGTGCTGGGGATCAGACCCAGAGCCTTGCTCATGCTAAGCAAGGGCCCTGCCACTGAGCTATACCCCAGCCAGACCCAGGTGGGTTTTGGGGAGGAGTCTACCAAACATGAAGAAGAAAAGAGCAGTGGGTCTGTAGAGTCTTCCAGAAAACAGAAGGCGGGGAATGCTGCCAAACTTGCCAGGACCTGACCTGTTTGGACCAGCATCCCTCCAAATTTAGGTTCATCATCATCAGTAAAATTCTAACAAATAAAATCCATCAGTATAGGGCTGGGGATTTAGCTCAGCGGTACCGCTACCTGCCTCGTAAACGCAAGGTCCTGAGTTTGATCCCCGGTACAAAAAAAAAAAAAAATCCATCAGTGTATAAAAAGAAAAATGCCCAGTGACCAAGTGGAGTTTATCCTGCAATACAAGACGGTTCAGCATTAAAAGTCCACCAGTGCATAATATATCTTGATTCTTCTTTATCCCCAATCCCCTCCTCTCAACCTCAGACCCCGCCCCCAAATAAAAACAAACTTCACCAGTGAGATCCACAAGGTGATCATGTCCATTGATGTGAAAAAGCACTTGACAGAATCCAATCCATAACCATCTGGGTATTGTCCAAAGTTGTCAGCTAAGGGCTGTATTGGGGAACTCTATTTACCTGAGGAAGGGCACCCACGAAACAACCTTCAGCTAACATCTTATTTACGAGTGAAAGACACAGTGTTTCCCCCGAGATTGAGAATAAAGCAAGGATGTCCACTGTCATTACTCCTTTCCAACACTGTAATGGAAGTTCTAGCCCAGGCTGTATGGCACGAATAGCAATAAAAGGCATACCAGAGTAGAGGTAAGTTCAAGGAAGAAGTAAGTTGGTAGTGCGCGGTGGCACATGCCTGTAATCCCAGCCTAAGCAACACAATGAGTTCAAGGCTACCTAGAATTAAATAAGACTCTGTCTCAAAAAAACTCCAAAACAACAACTACAACAGAAAAACCTGATTGTGCATAAACGACAATTGTCTGTGCAGAAAGATTCCAAAAAGCCTACCCAGAACTTCCAGAACTAAGTGATTTTAGTAAGGTTTCAGGATACAAGGGCAACACACAAATCCTATTTCTATACCAATAATGTACAATTAGAAGCTTAAAAGGATCTGGGTGTAGTGTCACGTGCCTGTAATCCAGCACTCAGGAGGCTGAGGCAGGAGGATTGCCATGAATTCAAGGCCAGCCTGGGCTCCATAGTGAGTTCAAGGCAACCTAGACTACATAGTAAGACACTGTTTCAAAAGGAAGGAAGGAAGGAAAGCAAGCAAGCACGCTAGCTTTAAAAGGCAGTACTGTTTATAAGAGCTCCAGAAGAAAATTAGGTGTAAATCCTTTGTGCTGAAAACTATAAAATGCTGATTTAAGCAATCAAAGACCTGCATAAATGGAGGCCATCCTCTGTTCCTGGGTTGTTAGAGCCAGTGCAGTTAGGGTATCAGTATCAGATAGGCTGCAGACTGAACTCCACTTGACTCCATCCCAAGCCAAGTCCTAGCAGGATGGTTCTGTACAAACAGGCAAGCTAATCTGGAACTGCATACAGAAGACAAAACAGCCAGAGCAACTTTTTTTTTTTTTTTGGAGAGATTCTCACTATGTAGCTCAGGCTGGCCATCCTCCTGCCTCAGCCTCCTGAGTGCTAGGATTATAGGTGTGCACCACCATCCCCAGCCAGGACAATTTTGAAAAAGAAAAAGTTGGAGGAAGCCACCTACCTCATTCTAAAACTTACTGTAGAGTCGCAGTGACTGACATGTGGGACCAATGAAAGGAGACATGGGCTAAGAGTCCAGAGACAGACCTGTGAGAAAGTGGTTCATTCGACCGCCAACAGAGGTGCCAGCTGGGCCCGCTCATCTTTCAGCAGACGGGGTTGGACAGCCCCGCGTCTTATGTGTCCGAGACAGAGGCAGCCGGCCTTGGCCTAGCCTCGCGTCTTATACTTACTTTGAAAGCTGTAATTCTTCCAAAAGCAAATCTTTCTGGGTTAGGTAAAAAGTTGTTAGGACAGCAAGAACATGGCTTATAAAATCGAAAGTGGAAACTGGACCTGACCAACATGCAAAACTTCTGTTGTGCTGGAAGCTCTGCTAAGAGAGCGAGAAGGCGAGCTACACGGGGCACAGAGGGCCACGTGGCCCGCAGGGGCTGTGTCCAGGCCATGACAAGACCACAGGCTCAACGGGAGACCACCATGCAGTGGCAGACTGACAGAGCAGGCGAGCACACACTTCGGTCGCCAGAGGGTCCGCAGGCAGCAGAGCGCCCACGAGAAGGTGCAGGTCAAGTGGTTCAGTTCATCCCCGGGAGCCCTCATTCTCAGACTGAAACTCCGTACCACTCAACACTGATCCCCCATTCTCCTCCTCCTCCGTTGTCCTGTTGATTTCTATGAATTCCACTCTTCCAGGTATCTCATGTAAGTGACACCATACAGTGCAGTCTTTGTCTCATTGTGATTGGCTTCTTTCATATTGTATGACATTTTCAAGGTTCCCATGTGTTATGATGTGTCAGAGTTTCTTCCTTTTTAAGGCTGGATAGTATTCCGCATGTGTATGTACTCTACCACATTTTGTTGTATTCCTCCATCAGTGGACCTCGGGTTGCTCCCACCTTTTGACTTTTCTTAATGCTGCTATGAGCCTAAATGTGCAAAGACCTGTTCAGCTGTTCATTAATGTTCATAGATGCTTTATCCACGGCTGTCAGGAACTGGAAGCAACCTCAGTGTTTCTCGGCCGATGAATGGATAGAGATATCACCACGATGTGGGACGTTGCTTGGGAGTTAAAGGAAAGGTGTGGTCCATGCAGTGACTGGCATGAATCCCAGCTGCAGGTGCGGGGTGACCGAGGTTGTTCTCAGAAGGCTGAGATGGTGAGATTCATTTACATGGTCCTCGCAACAGGACCAGGCCCTGGTGATTGGGCCAAGTCAGCGGTTGCCCAGGCTGGGGAGTGGGGCTGGGCACAGGGGGATGAGAGGAGGGTTTGGGGGTCTCGGAGCTGCTCTGTGTCTTGATCACGGTGGCGCTCACGCACACACGGTGTGTAAATGTGTGGGTCTGTATGCCAGGAAGAGTCCATTCTACTGCTGGATGATTCATCAAATAAAAGTGTTTTTAAGACCTTGATTTTCTATACCTCAGAACTAACCCAATTAAAAATATTGCATGAAGGGC